ATGCACTCTCAAGCAATCGTATGTGAAAAGACTAGGAAGTTGCATGACGATTTAATTAAAAAAATGCCTGCAACTAGTGGTGATGTGAGTGAATTTAAGGCCAGCAAAGGTTGGTTTGAGAGATTTAAGAATTGTAGTGGCGTACATAGTGTGATAAGGCATGGTGAGGCTGCCAGTTCAGACCAAAAAGCGGCTGAAAAATATGTGCAGGAATTCAAGGAGTACATAGAGACTGAAGGATTGAAACCTGAACAAGTGTTTAATTGTGACAAAACAGGCCTGTTTTGGAAGAAAATGCCAAACAGGACCTACATTACTCAGGAGGAAAAGGCACTCCCAGGACATAAGCCTATGAAAGACAGGCTTACTCTTTTGTTGTGTGGTAATGCTGGTGGTGATTGCAAAGTGAAGCCTTTATTGGTGTATCACTCTGAAACTTCCAGAGCGTTCAGGCAAAACAATGTCCTCAAGGGTAATTTGTGTGTGATGTGGAGGGCAAACAGTAAGGCATGGGTCACTAGGGACTTTTTCTATGACTGGTTTCACCATGTGTTTGCCCCCACTGTGAAAAATTACCTCCTGGAAAAGAAATTGGACCTTAAGTGCCTCCTGGTATTAGACAATGCTCCTGGTCATCCTTCAGACTTGGCAGAGTGAATTTCTGGGGACATGAGCTTCATCACGGTCAAATTTTTGCCTCCGAATACCACTCCTCTCCTCCAGCTCATGGACTAGCAGGTCATTTCCAACTTCAAAAACTCTACACAAAAGCTATGTTTCAAAAGTGCTTTGAAGTGACCTCAGACACTCAATTGACCCTAAGAGAGTTTTGGAAAGATCACTTTAGTATCCTCAGTTGTGTAAACCTTATAGGTAAGGCTTGGGAGGGAGTGACTAAGAGGACCTTGAACTCTGCTTGGAGGAAATTGTGGCCAGAATGTGTAGAAGAGAGGGATTTTGAAGGGTTTGGGGCTAACCCTCAGGAGCCTATGCCAGTTGTGGAATCTGTTGTGGCATTGGGGAAGTCTTTGGGGTTGGAAGTTAGTGGGGAAGATGTGGAAGAGTTTGTGGAGGAGGAGGACGATGAAGAACTAACCACTGATGAACTGCAAGAGCGTCTGCAACAGAAGAGGCCAGGCCTGAGGAAACTGCTTCAGAGGAGGGGAGAGAGAAATTGAAGAAGTTGCTTTCTTCAAAGATTAAGGAAATGTGTGAAAAGTGGTTTAAAGTGCAAACCTTGATGTATGAAAATCACCCTAACACAGCTATTGCACCAGCATCAAGGTTCTTTGATGCTGGTGAGAGGCTTCAGTTCCCTAAATTATTATCAATAATAATTATAATAATTACAATAACGATAGAGCTTCAGTTCCCTAAATTAATAATAATAATACATTATTATAACGAGAGCTTCAGAACGAAGCAAACTCTGTTTACCTAGCTGTGGGAGCAGTTCTCTCCTGCTTTGCTTACATTTTTGACAGTCATTTGGCCAAGTTTCGCTATTCTAACCATGGGTCCTAAGAGAGTAAGTGTAAAGGACAGTGCTGAGAAGAAAAAGAGGATGATTTCCATGGAATTAAAGCATGAAATTATAGATAAACAAGAGAGGTGTCCAGGTTTCGGGTTGAGGGAAAAGTGGGAGAGAGCTGGCTCGTAACTTGGAGCAAAAAATTGACCGATTGACAGCTCATATCTCAAACTCGTACGTTGGGACACTCGTAAGTCAAGGTTCCACTGTATTACCTTGCTCACACTCCAACAGCTCATGAAGTCCTAGAAACCATTTGTCTCCATTCCTATCTAACATGCTCACACATATATGTCCCCTTTATTGTAATTATCGGAATTTGATTAATTTATGTAATATCTAGGGTAAATTATAAATTACGAAAGGCAGCAGACATCTTGGCCTGTCTTTTATTAGTTGAATCAATCTCAGAGTTATTCTTAATGTATTTGACTCAAAATCTAAAAAAAAAAAAAATTATGACCATTATACATTCCTTATGTCTTCCTATAGGTTTGTCAGTTCTAAATCTGGCAAGATCTACCTCCACACTGATATCCGCATGCTAATCTTCCGCAAGAGTGACGCTGATGCTGCCACCCTGCACAAGACCAGTGTTCCCTATGAACTGCGCTCTTTTACACATGGTCCCACCAATCCAAAATTTTCACCAAGGAAGTAGTAAATTTTTTCTTTTCTTGTTCACTGATGCTCTTTCTCTACTTTTCGTCATTCATTGCATAGTTTAAGTACCCTAATTCATTACTTAGGTGTATTCTCATGAAAATATAAAAAACATTAAATATTTAAGCAAAAAATTAGGGTAAAGGAGTAGATGTATTTGGAATTAATTTGAAACGAGTATAGCCGAAATTTGTGCATTTATTTACAGTTAATGAAGAATTATGTACCATATCACTTTTTTTGTTATTTGGTAACATAATATACTGTGCAGGGGTACCTTAAGTATAATTGTTATAACTTCCAGAA